TTGTCATATTGAATAGTTTAGGACACAAATGACACGTTTTAAATAGTTTAGGCTTCCAAGTGGAATTAGCCCCAAAAATATTTGTTGTATGAAAATTACTACATTGTTGCTAGACATGTCTACGATCTGAGAATAATTTGGGAAGTCCGTACACAACACATAGTCCAACTAACTATTAGCGACAACTTAGCATCATGTCCTATATATTTCAAATCAAGCAACTTCATATTCATTATCAACGGTGTGGTAAAAAAGAATGTTCTCTGAAGGAAAAAAAAATTAAAGGACATATTAAACTCTATGAGCCATTTTCTTTAATCCTAACGATATGTATGTATTATGAGAAACAACTCTAATATTCAACTATATGGTTTAATTAAGTAATGAATGACAATTAGTTATATTTATTTCATTTTTTGTTCTATAATTATATGTAATGCTTATGAAATATTTACTCATGAGTGGGACAAGCTCTTCTATTCTGGTTCATGGTTTCTCTTGGCTATATGGTTCGTCCGGGGGAGAGATCAAGCTTCAAGAAATAGTGAATGGTCTTATCAATACACAAATGTATAAATCCCCAGGAATTTCAATTGCGCTTATATTCATCACTGTAGGAATTGGGTTCAAGGTTTCCCTAGCCCCTTCTCATCAATGGACTCCTAACGTATATTTTTCTCTTTTCATGGAGGTCTAAACACATTATGCATAGTTGGATCATTTCAAAAAATGTTATGTGCATAACTAAGGCAGAAAAAAATCATCTCATACATTTCAATTCATCTATTATATCCATTATTATATATTGTTGTGCCTAATTGAGTGTAGAAGTGAGACACGTGGTTTCTGGACGCGAACAAGATGGAGAATGACCCGCCTTTATACTTAGAACTTTGGAAGGTTACAAGTAAGACGACCAAGAAAACGAGATGGAGGGACAGTTTCCAAAGAGAAGTTTCTTCCTTTTTTAGAGAGATTCGAAAAAGAGCCCCCTACCCACCGGGGTAAATGTTATATTTATAGGCTACCTTCCTGGGTGGGTGACATGACATTTGGAATAGATAGGGAATAGGGAATGATGATGCCTATGAGCCAGACATGACGATTTGTCAGTGGAACGGTACCGTTTTAAGTTTCTTGCTCGCGGACCGTACCACTGCGCGGGCAGTGTTTCATGACGTCTCACGTGCCGCCTTCCGCCGATGACACTTTTTGCGCGGATGATACTTCTCGCGCGAGGGCATGAATTTGCATGCTCTATTTGGCTGCTCGTGGTTACTAGCGCGACATGCGGCTCTGGGCGTGCCTTGTCTTATCTTTTGTGAGGTTAGTGGTAACAGACAAGTGCACTCATTGCATGTGTTAGTCCATCCCGCGGGTATATCCTCCCCCCAGGTGGTGCGCGCACATAGTGGGTGTCGCCGCCTTATCCCTTTAATTTTTCCATCAACTATTGTCCACGTGGATTTTCCATGTTCGCTCATTTGGCGGTTCTTTTTATTTTCGAATTTCGAAAAAGTTGATGTGACGCTTGCGATTCCCGATGTACGCTTGTCCGTTGGGTTCCCCTTCCCTCGGTTATAAATAGGATTCTGAGTCCCATAAGACTCCACTTCTTTCAATCTTCCGGTTTTCTTTCAGAAAGTTACCTCAGATTCCTCTCCTTCGTTTGCGAACGTGCTTCTTCTTTCCTCCATCGACGCAACCCAGCTTCCGATGGCTAAAGGTGGTTCTAATGCTGAGATCGAGGTCACTATCGACGAAGAAGGTAATCTTTCTCCTCTATCTCATGTTTCTACTAATCCATCTTTGGATCTTTGTGATTCCGGCGAGGAGGGTAGCGGTGGAGCTGTGACCGGAGGAGTTCCGGCGATGTCGTCGTACGACATCGACGCCGATCATGATCTTCTTCATAGTTCGTCTGAGGGAGGTCAGTTGCAGGACAATGGTGGTGAATCGAGCTCCGGTGCGCATGGTGTATTAATCATCAGCTGCGAGCCCGCGAGTAGTTCCGCACATGTTGCCACCTCTTCTTTGGAGATATCGTACACGGAGTCTGATCTCCCCAACGAGCAGCCCCCTGTAAGTTTGCCGCGCGAATCGGAGGCGATGGCCCAACTTGGGCCCCACCACATCAACGCTCAATACACGATTGTGGAGTGGGCGGAGATGTTTGGTACTCTTCTCGTGCTCAATGACAACTTGTTGTGCGGCCAGGATCATGGTTTGAGTTACGGGCGAAAGAAAGTAGAAGAACTTGTGCGCGGTTTAGGGTTGCCCCCCTCGTGGCAATACATGGTGCCTTTAGAGCGGAGCCGTGTTGGGAATTGCCCCCCGGGCTGTTCGGAATATGTTTTGAGTACTCGCGGATGGGGTTTAAATTTCCCATGAACCCCCTCTGTTGTGTGCTCTGCTACAGCGACTGAAGTGTTCTATCGCGAGGTAGTCACCTTCCTCGATGATGCACATATCAATGCTCTGCCTTGTCCGTAAGCGGCACGGGGTTGAGCCAACATATGGCTTATTCCGCAAGTTCTACAAGATGAAGGAGCTCACTGAAAAGAGCAAGAGAGACTATTTTTCATTGAAGCGTCGCGACAAAAGGCCAGACAAGTATGTGTACAGGTTGCCAAAGCTTGAAAAGAACTAGTTCGAACGGGTTTTTTATGTGAAGCCTGTTCCAGGTGAATGGGCAAGCGAGTATGTGGACGAGCCGACCGTCTAGAAGAATGGCAGCATAAACGGTTTCGAGAGAGATGTGGCCACGTATGACGATTTGGAGGCGGAGTATGAGATATTGCTTGATGAAAAGATTGATTTGTATCATAAAGGAGTCCACGCAGAGCGTCTGACGGAGTTATTGTTAGTTGCCCTTCATTGTTCTTTCATTCTGTAATATTAACAGACTTCTTATGACTTCTTGTTGTAGGTGTTGACTATTCGACCGTCGTCAGTATGATGTCGGTTGATGAAGTTGTAAAGCCCCGCGGTGAGAAGAAGAGAAAAGAGGTGGATCATCCCGCGGTTGTGGAGAGGGTGAGCAAAGTTTCTTGGACAACGGGGAAGACAGCTGCTAAACCCATAGAGAAAGAGGTGTGGGTGGGCAAGCCGCCACGGCCAGACAAGGCGTTTGTTGGTAGTTCTTCTTAGCAGTCTATTCAACCGATGCTGACTGACATGTCTAGGTTTAAAGAAACCGTTCCCACGTATTTTCGGGACGTGCGGTTGCATTCTATAGCTGCTTTTTCCCTGAGTGCTGCCCAGAGTGCTTTGTACACTTTGGGCCCAGTCCCGAAAACTCCCCCACGGATGGAGAACACTGACCCTCTCCAATACCTTGCCCAAATTCATTTTGATGTAAGTGCTTTCTTATTCACTGTGAATTTTGCTGTAAGGTGGCGGGTGCTGAGGGTCACGCGAAGGATGCGACAAAGAAGGCCATTGAGGCGATGGAGCGGCTGGGGTTGTTGCAGAACAAGTTGTCTGGAGAGATCAAGGCTGGGAAGGAAAAGGCTCAGGCAGAGGAGATGGATGCCATCCACGAGGAGCTGGAAACGAAATAGTACTTTGGGCTCATGATTGCGTGATTATGTTGCACTTTATTATTTGCACATATCTGAACGAATCAGTGTTGCGGTTGAAAAGTAACGACAACGCTTTGTCAATAATTTCTAAGGTAGAGTTACATGGTACATCAAGAAGCGAGATAGTATTTTCTAAGGGTTTGTGCGTTCGAAGTCCTTGGCACTCTGGCTCCGCCTAGCTCTCGTAGTTTAAAAGTATTAACACCGATAATCTCGCGGACGAGGTAGGGTCCTTCCCAAGTGGCCACCAACTTGTCGTGTTTGGGGTCAGGACGGAAGTTTCCCCTCAAGACTTAGTCTCCTACTTCCAAATTATGGGGGACTAGTTTGGGTTGTAGTATTTTGAGACCTGATCCTTTTTCGCTGCTAGTTTGATGGAGGCTAACTCGCGGCGCTCATTTGCCAACTCAAGGTCCATTAAGCGCGAGTCGTCGTTGCTTTCTTCGTCGAACATTGTAATTCGATATGTGGGCGTTGATGTTTCAATGGGTATGACGGCGTCCATGCCGTAAGTTAGCTCGAATGGGGTTTTGCCTGTGGCTATTTTGAAAGTAGTGTGGTGTGCCCATAGCACCGTGTGCAGCTCTTCCGCTCAATTGCCTTTTGCGTCCCCGAGGCTGGTGTGTAGCCCGTGTTGGAGTGCCTTATTCGCCGATTCTGCCTGAATGTTGGCTTGAGGATAGGCTACAGAGGCAAAGCGGGCTATTGTTCCCAGCTGGTCGCAAAAGTCGATCACCTCTGGGCAAGGTTGTCAAACCGGTTTATACCGTTATGCCGGTTTGGCAAGTGGAATGGTACGACAGATGGTATAACCAGTTTGTGCCGGTTTAAAAAAATGTGAAAATAATTAATATCCAATGTATTTAATCATATATAAAACATATTTGTGGACAATTTAGTTACAATCCAACAAATATCATCAATTTTTAACTATTTAATTCATAAAATGAATAATAAATTAGTTTTTTTATTAATTAAATTCATTAAATGATATCATTTTGCTTAGAATGCGTAAGTCGATCATACCGGTCATACCGGTGGTGTCATGCCGGTTTTATGACCGGCACAGGTTGAACCAGGTTCAACCGGGTGGCATGCCACCGGCATGACAACCATGCCTCTGCGCAATCAAATTTTTTCCATGATCGAAAATACGCGAATTTGGGACTCCGAAGCGCGTTAGTAGATTGTTCTTCAAGAAGCAGATTACTTGTTGCGCGGTGATTGACGCTAATGCTTCCGCTTCGAACCACTTGGTGAAGTAAATCCACCGCTATAATGATGTACTTGCGCTTGCCTTTTGTTGTTGAAAAGGCGCCCAAAAGGTCCACTCCCCATTGCGCGAACGGCCATGGACTTAAGTTTCCTTGGTGTTTCCGCTCATTCTGTTGGAAGTGTGGCACTGGTCTACAAAATTCTTTATGTCTTTTTTTATTCTGGACCAGTAATATCTATGCAGGATGGTGCATTCCATGCTACGCGCCCCACTGTGCATTGCACATAAACCTTCGTGCAAGTCTTGCACTATTTTGCGCGCTTCCATCTGTCCGATACATTTGAGGTACGCGCCGAAGTGTGACCACCGGTGCAACTCACCCCCGATGAGGGTGTAGCGAGCCTCCTTTTTTCCTTAGAGCCCATGCTTCTTTTGCGTCCTCTAGCACTGATCCATTGAGTATTCTACGATCGGTGCTCACCAGCCGTCCTCTTCCTCAATTTGTGTGGTGTTGACCATTGTGAGTTGTTGGGTTTCTTGATCCTCTTTTTGTACTGAGACTAACCTCGTTGATTCAAAGTTGGTGGCAGTCGTGATTTTTGATAATGCGTCAACGTGAACATTTTCTTCCCTTGGTATTTGAACGTATGTTACTGTTTCGAAGAGGTTTGCTTGTTGCTTGACTCGCTCGATGTACTGCGCGAGTGTGTCCTCCTTTGCCTCGAAGACGCCGTATAGTTGGTTGACTACCAACACAGAATCAGACAGTACTCTTATTGTTTTCACGCCCAAGTCTCTTGCTATCGCTAGTCCTGCTAGGATGGCTTCGTACTCGGCAACATTGTTTGTTTTCAATGTTCTGAAGCATATTGCTATTTCGTGGATGGCTCCCACGGGTGTGCGCACGACTACTCCTTTTCCTTCTGGCGCTGTGTCTAGGAAAACTACCTCGGCGAGGAAGTCTGTCAATATTTGAGCTTTTATGGCTGGTCTATGCACGTATTGGATGTCGTATTCCGATAGCTCGACTGCCCATGTGACAATTCGTCTTGAGACCTCCATTGAGCTCAGGATTTTCTTTAGTGGGGTTTTCGTTAAGACAGTGATCGAGTGTGCTTGAAAATAAGGACGTAGCTTTTGTGATGTGCTTACTAATGCCAGGGCAGCCTTCTCTATTGGCGAGTACCTTGTTTCCGCGCTCAACAACGTTCAAGATGTGTAATATATGGGTTGTTCTTTTTGCGCCTCTCTTCTAGATACTAACACTGCACTCACCACTCTAGTAGACACAGCCAAGTACAAGAACAACTTTTCATTAGGCTTAGGCCGGTTAATACAAGGGGGGATACAAGGTACAATTCGAGCTCATTGAATGCTGCTTCACATTCTGATGTCCATGCGAATCGCACACCACTTTTAGGGTTTGGAAGAAGGGAACGCACTTGTCAGCGGACCGGGGTATGAACGTTCTAAGCGCGGCAAGTTTCCCATTCAGAGATTGTATTTATGTCGTGTTCCTAGGCGAGCGTAGCTGTTGAACCACGGTGATTTTCTTGGGATCCACTTCGATGCCACGCTTGGTTATCATGAACCCCCAAAATTTTCTTGATTCAGCGCCGATTACACCCTTCATGGGATTTAGGTGGATGCCATGTTGGCGGTGTGTCTTGAATGTCTCATTGAGATCTTCTAGGTGTGAGCGTCCTTCCTTGGTTTTAACAATGAGTTCATCCATGTAGGCCTCGATGTTTCTCCCGATCTGACGCGAGAACACTTAGCCAATCATCAGTTGATATGTGGCTCCCGCACTCTATATCCCGAAGGGCAAGCCTACGAAGCAGAAGTTGCTAAATGACGTTATGAAGGTTGTCTTTTCTTCGTCTTCGCGGATCATCAGGATTTGGTGGTATCCCAAGAATATGTCCAAGAAGGTTAATGTTTCATGGTCGGAAGTGGCGTCAATCAGTTGGTCAATGCACGGTAGGGCCTATGGGTCTCCCTGACACACCTTGTTTATTGTCGTGTAGTCGACGCACATTCTCCATGCTCCAGACGATTTTTTTACCAAAACAACATTGGCTAGCCATGTCGGGTATTTGACCTCGCGTATTAGTCTGGCGGCGAGGAGGTGAGAGACCTCTTCTTCTATGGCCTTCAACTTTTCGCCTGTGAAGCTACGTCGTTCATGTTGTTGCGGTTGTGCATCTTTGGGAACTGAAAGGCAATGTTGTGCTACTTTCATTGGCACACCAGGAATGTCTTCGGTGCACCATGCAGATAACTCTTTCTGCTTCTGTAGCAGCTTTACCAATGGTTCGACCATGTCGTCGCGTACATGAATTGAAATGCGCACTTTTTTGGTTGGTTCTTCTGAGTTCAACGCGAATTCAAAGTCTGAATCCATCAATTCTGGGCGTGGCTCCTCTGCCCGTGTGTCGATTATGTTAGTCTGGTGAGTAGTTTGTTTTGTATTCCAGGTTAGCCCGCGTGACTCTCTGGTACCTGCCTTGGTGGGAAACTTTAGTTTTTGGTGACATGTGGACGTTAGGGCCATGAACTTGGCCAGGAATGGGCGGCCCATAATGTCGTTATGGGTGAGTTACAGTCGACGATGGTGAATCCAACCGGCTTTGAAATGCATGGTTCCTAGTCACCAACGACAATTGGCAGGCTGATCGCCCCTATTACCGCCACACGTGTGTTGGAGAAACCCACCAAGTTTCCTTGTGCGTGCTTGATCATGTGTGGATCGATGTCCATATGGTATAGGGTACGCTTGAACAGAATGTCCACGGTGCTCCCCCCCCCCCCCCCCCCCCCCCCCCCCCCCCCCCCCCCCATCTATCAACAGACGGTGAATTTTACACGCGGCCACCAAAGCAGTTAAGGTGAGTGGATCCAACGACGACCTTTTTCTCTGGGGAAATAGAAATGCTATTTGTGGTCGCGCATGTGGGGTGCGGCCTTGATGGGCGCTGACCAGTTGAGACGGTAACCTTTTTCACGTATGAGGAGGAAAATGTTCTTGACTGATTCGTTGAGGGGTTGAAGGTATTGATCGGACGTCTGTCTGGAGAACGTCTGCGCAGTACTGGCTCTGGCGGGGCGAGCGGCCTGCTAGCCCCGCTATGGTATTGTGCTAGCTGTGTGGGTGGCAACGAGAGTTGCCTCTGCGTGTGTTCTTCTCTTCCTTGCCTTGTCGGCTCGAAGCGTCGTATTGACCCAGTGCCGAGGGTTTCTTCTAATGTGATGGCCTTCTCAATTTTGATCTCCACCTCGGAGGAGGACGCCACTCTAATGAGCGTTTTAGTTCCATGTTTGTAATGACTTCCATGAGGTGGTGAGCTGCTGTTTCGGGAGTTAAGTCTCGCACCGCCTTGGCGACACGCGACCATCTGGCGTAGAATGCCCGTAGACTTTCCTCGTCCTTTTGTTTGATGTCGATTAGGGCTTTGAGGTGGAGCGTTCTTCGCTTCTGTGAAGCGAACTTGGTTGTGAAGAGGAGTATGAACTCTTAGAAGGATCGAATAATCTCGTTTGGGAGTCGGTTATACCAATCCATGCATATGCCTGCGAATGTGGAGGGGAAGGTTATGCACAGAGCGGAATTCAAATTTGTTTAGAGTTGCATTCGGAGGCTGAATGTGCTGACATGGTCTTCTGGGCCCGTTGTTCCGTTATACGTTGGGAGGGTGGGCGCGGTTCCGGTGAGGTGTTATGCCATGATTTCGGCGCACAATGGTTGGTGGAGAGTCACCCTGGTTTGAGCGTGGTAGTGGGGGATAAGTGTTGCTCCAGGAAGTTTAGATTCGCTTTAACTGGCGGCTCTGCTCATTTTTCACGTGGTTTGGGGATGATCTGTCTTCCTCCGACGTTGGCGGGACGATCACCGCTGGTTGCACCGCTGTGCTGGCTTCTTTTTTCATCATGAGCGCGATGACTTGGTTCATCTTGTTTTGCATGTCTGCTATGACCTCGCTCTTCTTGGCCATTTGTTGACGTACTTCATTGGCTTTTAGTTCCGCTTCTTCTTCCTCTATGAGTACCGCGTTCAAGTTGCCGATTTCCGCGAACTGTCTCAGATTTGTCATTGCTTTGACGAGCGTCATCTCGTCTAGGGTGTCTGAAGTTTGTCCCGTCATTGTCGTCTTGGTTTCTGCTCTTTTTACTCGCGGCCCCATGGTGGGCGCCAATTGTTTGTGCCTAACTGAGTGTATGAGTGAGACACGTGGTTTATGGGCGCGAATAAGATGGAGAATGACTCGCCTTTATACTTAGAACTTTGGAAGGTTACAAGTAATACAACCAGGAAAACGAGATGGGAGGGAGAGTTTCTAGAGAGAGAAGTTTCTTCCTTTTCTAGAGAGAGTCAAAAAAGAGTCCCCCTACCCACCGGGGTAAATGTTGTATTTATAGGCTAACTTCAGGTGGGTGGGTGACATGACATTTGGAATAGACAGGGGACTAGGGAATGATGAGGTCTATGAACCAGACATGACGGTGTGTCAGTGGAATGGTGTCGTTTTAAGTTTCTTGCTCGTGGACCGTACCACTGCGCGAGCAGTGTTTCATGGTGTCTCATGTGCCGCGTTTCGCCGATGACACTTCTTGCGCGGATAATACTTCTCGCGCGGGGGCGTGAATTCACGTGCTCTGTTTGGGTGCTCGTGGTTACTAACGCGTCATGCGGCTATGGGCGCGCCTTGTCTTATCTTTTGCGAGGTTGCTGGCGCACCTGGGCCCGGGCCATGCCCCTGACATATACAATATTACTCAACAAAATTCTTCCGGCCAACGAGTCGGGCCCTGTGTTAGTAAAAAGTGTTTTTAATATTTTTTAATAAAAATAATATATCATGGGGCGCGCAGTCTTGACAAGTCAGATTCAGGCCAAATAATTTATCATGGGGCACGGGTCGGTGCAAGTCTACCCATATAGTGTTTTTAATATTTTTTAATAAAAATAATTTAACACTACAACATTATAAATGTAGTTAAATTACTCAAGAAATTGAGGTTTTGACATATTTATAACTTAATTATAGCTTAAACATGAGGTAATAAAAATAAAATCTTAAGTAATTTGAGTAATATTGTATATAGTGTACACAAACGGGTCAGGAACGGGGTGAGTCAAGGTAAGTCAGGTTAAGGAGAGTATCTATTAAGGTTGAGGCAAGTCAGGTTGAAAAGAGTATCCATTAAGCGAGTATTACCCGTCCCAAAACATATGGGATAAAACAAATAAGGTTGAAATTTACACTCCTAATATTGTCATTAACTACATGTGTCTATGTCAATAACTAGTAACCACTATTGTTGTTGACTACCATCGTTAACTATCAGAAACTGGATAGGGTGTTGCTAACATATTCATTATGGGTATTATGGTAACTACCCACTCATAGGTCACAACTCATAACAGCTCCCTATCTCCTTTCTATGTCCATTACATTTGGATTTCATAAGCAAATTATATTTTGGTATCTCAACTTAATCGATGTTTAGATTTAGTACCTAAACTTAATAGATATTAAGATTTAGTACCTTAAATTATTTTTATTCCATATAAATCCTAAAATATTGATGGAAACTTATATTTTAATACTTAAAAATTTTATGTCCTACATTTTTATACCTAAATTTCTAAAAATTTGAGAGTAGGTTTCTGGTTGGCTTGTGATATGCTTTATGAGTTTCTAGTCGGCTTTAAGAAACTTGTTGCATGCCTAATGAGGTTTTTGGTATGCTCTAAGAAACCTATGATATGCTTTAATAATCTTGTGATATGCTTTATGAGGTTTCTGGTATGCATTAAGAAACTTGTGTTGTGCTTTAATAAACTTGTGATGTGTTTTATGAGATATCTGGTGTGCTTAAACAAACTTGTGGCATGTTTTAATGAACTTGTGGTCTACTTTAAGAAATTTGTGGGTGCTTTAATAGACTTGTGGTATGCTTTATGAGGTTTATGATATGTTTCAAGAAACGTGTGAGTCCTTTTTTTATTTTTGTAGAAATGTGTTTTAAGAAATTTGTGGTATGCTTTGATAAACTTGTGATCTGCTTTATGTAGTTTATGTTGTGTGCTTTAATGAAATTGTGGTATGCTTTTATGAGGTTTCTGCTATGTTTTAGAGAACTTGTGATATGCTTTGTTTTAATAAACTGGTGGTATGCTTAATGGGGTTTCTGATATGCTTCAGAAAAATTATGATCTTTAACGAAACTTATGGTTCCATTTGCAAATTAGAGTTTAATACCTAAGCTTAATATATTTCAAGATTTAGTATCAAAAGTTACTTTATTTTTTTGCATATAGTCATAGAAATACTAATGAAAAATACATTTTAGTATCTACAACTTTTATTTATTAAATTGCGATAACTAAACTTTTTAAAATTTACAAATAGGTCTCCAAGTGTGTGCCCTCTAATTTTTTATATTGAAAAGCATGCACATATCTTTATTATTTTTGTCAACCCCTTCAAATAAAATAGTCATCAAAATGAAAATTTTCTATTGGTTAGAATTAGTATTAACATCCTTATATTTGCCATGACTATCACTGACAAATATGTTTGATTACAACTACAAGTGTTAATTGCACAGGTTAACCTCAATGCTCGACTGGTCCTCTTCATTTCGACTATTCAATAGATTCTTTCTCTGACCTCAAAGAGTGACGAAAACAATTTTCATATAGAGTTCTTATATGTCCTAATGTCTTCCTTGTCCTAATGTCTTCCTTGTGTGTCCTCTACCTTTTCTAGGCTCTTGAATAGGTAGCTTGAACAAGTGTGCTAATTCTATAATTTTTCTACTAACTGACGAGCCACTTCAATCACACCTATCATAGCGGCAGAGTTATTGAAATGAATTCAAATGGAAGTCAAAAATTAGTTGACAAATTAATTTCAATGTGTTGACGAGAATCCATAAAGTGTTCACCTTTGGAAGGTGTCAGAGGCGCAGGTAACCTAACTTACGGTTTCATTCATTTATCGAGCATATCAAACACAAATAAAACACCGACTTTGATTGTCAATAACAAATTAAATCTTCATATTGATGTAGGAACGAAATAATCGCAAAATATAACAAAACTACTTAGTAAAACTCAAACTGAAACAAGCTCAACATAATAAAATAAATTTTATTCAAACATTATTAATGGTTAACTATCCACATATCTCTTACACTCTGTTCTTAAGCGAAGGAAAAGGAGGGGAAGGGAAGGAAAGGCTGGAAAGTTGGAGACCCAAAAAACTTTTCTCTGTTTTTTAAGCCATGAACAGTGATGAGGGGAGGGGAAGCGGAGAGAAAATCTCCTGTGCTAGCCTCACCCCCAAATCGGAAGGAAAAAGAGAGTTTCCTCTCTTGCGTGTCCCAAACCCTCTCTCTCTTTACCTTTTTTATTTCTTTCTCTCTCCATCTGTCTCATTTATCTTTAATAATTAAATTGAAGCAAGTAGATATAACTTATAAGATGAAGTAAACTATGGAGAAAAAATATGAAAAGTAGCTTCATAAAAAATATTATAATTAATGGGTAGTAAGTGATATTTCCTTTAAATTGTGTTTATTATATTTTTTATAATAAAAATTGTTCTTCAACGTTGAATAATTTTTAATTTATTAGAATGCTTGATCAATTATTATATATTTTTTTATAATATTTTTTTTATTAGTCAGCGGTTCATTAGTGGTTTCTCAAACGACTTAACACCGGTTAAAACCATATCATCGACAGTTAGGCTAGATAAACCTCCTAACTTAGTCTAAACTGATATGCAATTTTAAACGGTAAAAAATAATTGATGTAGTTAAATCACGATTTTAGAAGAAAATACGCTACCACTTATTTTTCCGATACAATCTCTGGTGCGGTTTAGAAAGAAAGTACAAACTTAATTCACAATTCATAAATAGAATATTAACATACAATCAAATTATTTTACTATTATATAACCAATAAAATAAACATATTCATCACACTTTCCAATACACACTTTCTTTCCCATTTTCCTTCCTAAAACAACATTTTCCTCCCAGTTTTCTTACCTCCAAATCTCCCCTCCCCTCCCCTTCTTTTCCTCCTTTCTTTCGGAAACATAGTGTTAATAACAAATCGCACGGCTGAACACGCCAAGATTAGTCGACATTGAGTGAGAGAAAAAGCAGGTGGGCCAATTCAGAAACAGACAGACGACAAATAGCTGCTGCTGAACGACATGTGACGTCAGCTTCCCAGCGCAGCCCGGCCCATTCCCCATTTTCTCATCAACTTGGAAGTTGGAACAAAAACAAATATTATTCTTCTGATGTCGATATCTTGGGATTACGATTTTTAAGCACGTGAACCAATTCAGCACCTTCGAAGAAAACACCTTCGCCAAAGATGTCCCAATACTGCTTTATTTTATTTCCAACTTGGGTCTGTAACTGTTACGCAAATGGTCACTAAATTTTGTACTAACTAACAAATCAGTTTATGAACATAACTACATAACAATATTTTGTTTACGTCGTCTATTAGTGTGACAAAATTAATAATCATAAAAAAACGTGTGGATTGTAGTTAAATGACATATACAGTATATTTTACGTCAACGTTCATGTGAAACCAAGCACGCTACTCTAACTAATTCCAATCCACGTTACTTGAAAGTGAAACTGATGTTATTCGTTCCTCTGAAATTAATTGCTAATTAGAGAGTCCGTGCAACTCTTACTTTGATTACGAGTGATCCTTAACTGAAGCTAAGGTGAACCTCAACTTCATTGGGTCAAGTGCTCAACAACCATGGTGGCCGGCAAGTGTTTAAAGACGTATAATCTCGTTAGTACCCCCTCCTAGTGGTAGGTGGTATATTTCATAAAGATGACAATTAACATTTGAACAAAGGTTCTTCAATTACCTTTATCATTGAGCCACAAAATTGATGATGAATTGCCAAATCGGACAATTTAAACATGACGCTCGTTGATATTATGATTCTGTTATAAGTTATTTCGAAGTTAAAAAGCAAAGTTTAGAAAATAAATTTGCAAATGATCCTGAATTGTAGTTTAGTGATCAATTACGTAATTGTGATTATTTTCAACTGTCAACATAAAAAATATATCTACCATTAAAATCCAACCAAGAAAATCTTTTTAATTAGGGTTAATACTTCGTTTTGGCCTGAATTATAACCATATAATCAACTTTGACCCGTGGTTTCAGAAATTAACATACTGACCTCAACTATGTAACATATAGACTCAATTGGCCCACCACATGGTTTGACCATCAATTTGGACGGTCAACACGTCATGTCATTGCCTTGTCGGTCTAAAAATCATTAAAAATTTTAAATTTAATTTTTTTTACTCATTTCTATTATTTATCATTATCAAATTAACCAAAAAATAAAATTATAAAAATATATTTTTTTAAATTTTTTGGTAATTTGAAAATGATAAGTTTTATAAATTAACCAAAAAGTATCAAATTAGTTTACATTTTTAAATTTAATTTTTTGGATAATTTGAAAATGATAAATAATAGAAATTAGGTAGATAATTTGAATTTGAAAATTTTTAATAATTTTTAAGCTGACAAGACAATGACAAGGCGTGTTGACTAACGATCAATGATGTTGACCGTTTAAATTGACGGTCAAACCATGTGTCGGGCCAATTAGATCTATGTGCTGCATAATAGAAGACAAGATGTTAATTTCTAAAACTATGAGCCAAAATAGGTTATACGATTGTAATTCGGGCCAAAATAAGTTATTAATCTTTTTAATTATTTCATGAAAGAGAAATAAAGAAATGTTTCCCCCTCCCCTTCCCCCCGGGTTCACGAACCCAGTCTTCCTATATAAACTCCAACCTTTCCCCATTTCTCATACTTAAACCGAAAAGCAAACCACAGAGAGATCCAAAACGGATAACCCAACACCAAACACACAACTCTTAGTCGAAAAGATTCGATTTTGAACAAGTTCAACTGAAACCCAAAAAAATGCAAGGCGAGATGGTAGCTACAGAGTCCGATTACGCACTTCTCGAATCGATTCGCCGACACTTGCTCGGTGAATCAATCCCCACCACCTCTACTTTTTCCTCCAGCCCCGCCTACCGCCGGCTCCCTAGTTTCGGCACCGTGTACCCTTGTTTGACGGAGAATTGGGGCGAATTACCCCTGAAGATGGACGATTCGGAAGACATGCTGCTTTTCGGCGTTCCTCGTGACGCCTTCCACGACGGGTGGGTCGTCCCGAATTCGGATTTCTCGCCGACGGCGGAGGTGACGGCGACCCTTCCACCGGTGAAATTGGAGCCGCCGCCGACACCGGCGGTGGTGCCGCCGAAGGGGAAGCACTACAGGGGAGTGAGGCAGAGGCCTTGGGGGAAGTTCGCGGCCGAGATCCGCGACCCGGCCAAAAACGGGGCGCGGGTCTGGTTGGGTACTTTCGAAACGGCCGAGGATGCGGCTCTGGCTTACGACAGAGCCGCATACCGGATGCGGGGCTCCAGGGCGCTGCTGAATTTCCCCTTGAGGGTGAATTCGGGCGAGCCCGACCCGGTTCGGATTACGTCAAAGCGGTCGTCGCCCGAGCCATCATCGTCGTCGTCTCTGTCTTCATCGTCGTCCGGGTCGGATAGCGGGTCGCCGAAGACTAATAAGAGGAGGAAGAAGGGCGGCGTTGTTAACGGGTCGGGTGACGGGGCTCCGGTTGCTGTTGCTACTACTGTTACTACGCAAGTATCTGTCCAGGTCGGGTCGGATATGGGTAATGCCGGTGGTTTTGGATATCAAGTGGCAGTCTGCACACGTGGCGGGCAGCTATTGGCTGCCTGATCACACATGTGTAGCAATTTGTTTGAAGGGAGAAAAAATGGGGAAAATGGTTCAGAAAAGCACAGGAAATGGAGAAAACGAGTTTAATATTTACAAAAGAGAAAAAAAAACCCCTGTAATTTGCCGATATTTTTTGGATGGTTACCGTTAGATTACGTTTCTCTTTGTTAATTTTGTAGAAAATAGATGAAGTCTGAGAGGTATATTGCCAATTGCAATGTGAATACTGTTATCAGATTTCAGCTTTCACTTTCTTTCCTAAAATGGGGAAGGCTTTGTGTCTATGCTTGTTGTTATGGGGATGTACTGGTTCTTAAAATACATAATTTATGATCTCATAATGTTCCAACATATTTTGATGTTTTTATAATGATTGTAAAATTCTATTGGAGGTTATATATAAAAAAAATATGATATAAAATTTTGTACCGAAATTGTGGTTCAATTATAATTTAATCGTTTTATATACCGAAAATCGTATACCGATTTGGGGTATGATACACAATATTCTTGATTCGACCGGGCAGTAAGTTACGATTTCTAAACAATGATTTCCATGCACTCATTTTATGATAAGGAAAAAATAGGAGGAACCGATTTCTTTCTCTATACAGGAGCTACTTTAAGCCACAAAAGGTTAGATTAGGAGGTACAACCCTTAGTGCCATATGCTCAACAAGCATTAAAAATTAGCTAGATGATAGACTATCAACTTCAATTGAATATAACATCTTTGATGAATCGCACATCGATAAAAAATAGAGAGATCTATGGTTCATGAGTAAAAAATCGATCTTAATTGCCAATACACGTTTTGGGTTGAAATAGAATAGTTCTTGTGAGAACTCCGAAGTTAAACGTGCTGACTATGGACCACTGCAAGAATGTGTGGCCTTATGAAAAGTCACCTTGACATGCACCCCAAGACCAAAACCGTGAGGGTCTAGACCCAAAGTGAACAATATCTTATCGGAGATAGGTTCGGAATGTTGCATTAAATGTTCAACAAACTGTCAATCTCAAATAATCGTTGTAACTTTTTTTAGATATGTAAGTAGAGGTGCCAATTATCAATCCAATCCACCAATCCAATTCATCAATCCATTAAATATCCAACTAATTACACGAACAAGGGCTTGGTCTAGTGGTAATACCACTAGCCTAGAACCTGGAGGTCTTAGGTTCGAATCCCTTAAGTAGTACCATAATCACAAAAAAGAAATCTATATCACCCTTATAAAAAAAAAATCCAACTAATTAATTCAATCTATTTAAATCCAATCCATTTGATCCAAATCCAATTAGATTGGTGGATTCATGGATTGGATCCATGGATCATTGACAATTATAATTTAGTACCTATAATTTTTATTTTTTACATTTTGGTACCTAAAATTTAATTTTTATACGAAAAATATCATTGGAAAATAATATTTTGGTACCTAAAAGTTTTCATTATGACATTTTAGTACCTAAAATTTTTGCATTTTACGTATTGGTCATTGGTTAAGGATGTCATTTGGATTCATAGATAATCCACCAATCCACTTGATCCAATTCATGAATCTACCAATCCAATCCATTTGCCACCTCTACTTCATTTAGTACGTTGAAAGAGGTGCCGTTTACTTCATTTAGTACATTTCAAGGGATATTGGCTGCATCTGAGGAAGAATATTTGGTTTTCCCCCTCCAAGAAAGACGAAATTGCACAATCTTAATTCTAACGAAGAAATTAATACGCTAGAATTTCTACTTTTCCTGTGGAATTTTATGTTAGGCGATGTGAATTCAATGCCATGGAATTGAGATTCTGTTTTTATTTTCCACCACGAGCTCCTAATTGACTATAGAATTCGGACAATGATTTGTTGTCACTAACATCTCATTGGTTTAGTTATTCAAACCTACATACCTTCTATGAAACAAGTAAACATGTACAAGAGTCCAAGTAGAAAGTGATATGACTACCATTAACCACGTAACCTTAAAAAGATGAATTGCTTTCATATGTTTTTTTTAGTTTTTCATTTTGTTGATTCATCACCTTCGAACTCTACAATATATAGATAACTCGATATTTCTATTCTATCTTTTTTTTTATTCAAACCTACATACCTTCTATGAAACAAGTAAACATGTACATGAGTCCAAGTAGAAAGTGATATGACTACCATTAACCACACTAGCACAGGGCCCGGCCCGTTGGCCGGAAGAATTTTGTCGAGAAATATGATATATAATAATGATATAATCGATAATTTGAAATGCATGAAATGATTGTTTTCTACCTTAGTTATGCACATAACATTTATAAAAGTGATCGAACTATGCATAATATGTTTAGACTTTAGACTTTCATGAAAAGAGAAAAAAATATAATATAAGAATTACGTATTATTATTGAATGAAAAAAATATATAACTAATTGTCTTTCCATACTTAATTAAACCATACAGTTGAATATTAGAGTTGCTTCTCATAATTCATACATAATCAAACTTTAGGATGAAAGAAAATGTCTCATAGAATTTATTATGTCCTTTAAGTTTTTCCCAATAGAGAGCATTCTTTTTTACCACACTGTTGGTAATGAATATGAAGTTGCTTGATTTGAAATATATATGACATGATATTAAGCTGTCACTAATAGTTAGTTGGACAATGTGTTGTGTACGAACTTCCCAAATTATTCTCAAATCGTAGACATGTCTAACAACAAAGTAGTAATTTTCATGTAGCAAATATATTTTTTCATGAAATAATTAAATAAATAAAAATGTATGAAAATAATATTACTTGAAATATATGTTACTCATTAAGTTGATGAATGAGAGAGGGTATGAGTAGCATACATTTATTTTAAGAAGATAGAAGTTGCAAAGTGTCTTTGGGGTTGCATGAGATCGCATATTCTCATTATCGCTAACTGATTTATGCTTTTTTGCAATAGATAGTTTAAAATGTGCCTTACAACTTTTGTTTCCACCAGTGTAAAATAATTTTTTGAACCAAAGGATTGTAAAATTGTATCGAAAAAGTTGGTAGTAGAGTATTTTATACTGAAGTCATAATTTAATTGTGGTTCAATCGTTTCATATTGCTAATATCACCTATCGATTTAGCCTATGATGTGAAGTTTTATGGTCTAACCGCTGGTACGTATGATCTTTCAGTACAAACTTTAAATAAAAAACCACTAAAATATTGACATTATCAAATACCCCTCAAATATCAGAAATTACAATAATAGTATTAAGGAAAATCTTCCAAATGATAATATTGATTTAGTATTTTAAATTGAAATGGAAAAATATGTCAAATATAATGTAATCTCCTAAAATAAATCAAAACTCAACAGAATAGGGCCAAGAATATCCACTAATCAAAAGAGAATGACAATTATTTCACACTACCTAATTTTCCACCTCTTTTAAATGTCCTCTCACTCTCTCTTTGCATTCCTCTTTGTTTTTCCATTTGTTCTTCCATCTCTCTCTCTCTCAGCTTTGTATCTCACAACTCACCACCTTTTTCCTTCCTCTTTCTTCCCACCGCTTGAAATCGAGAGAACCCTATAAACATCCCAATTACTTCTCCAATTTTGCGTTCGAAATGCTTCTTCTCGATTCACAATCAATAGTGTGAATCAGAGCACCTGAAACCTGGCGAATCATGGTCGCTTATTCATCGACGGAGCAAAGTAGCTTGATAGCTTGTGAATAAACTAATTATTAAAAGTGATAAAAAGCAGAACTCGTTAAACCAATCGAGTGAGTGTATAGTTAGCTCATCGCTTAAAGCCTTAAACCATTGCATTTATCTAAAGAATCAAAATGCATAATCAAGTTCATCTTCACTTTACATGTATTTGTCGTACAAATTCATTACACATAAAAAACGTTTTGAACTGAAGCCATATTAAACTAAATCTCATCTTATGATTATTGGATTCATGTCAGATTAGCAAAAGGTCTTAGGCTTTTGGTCAACCGGACTGAAAATTAATACTAATTTAAGAATTATATATCGCTTCCAAAATGTTCAATACTCCAATTTAATATGCAATATTCAATATTCAAAGAAATTATATATGAGTTTCAACCCTTTCTCACACACTTGCAAAGAAATACTAAATCCCAGTTTCTTTTTCACTTTACTTGCTTCTAAAGTTATCGCTGACGTTGTTTGTTATTACTGCAAGCTGTAAAAAAGACTTTTCAGCTATGAAGTTAATTAAGAATGATTTTATAAATGAATTTTTAGTTTTATACATTGAAAAATGTTTGAATCTCAAAATAAACAATGAATGTATTTTATAAACCTTTTAGAATATGAGCCGTCACACGTTGATGTGAGAAACTACTAATTAATTCAAATTTTATATGTTATTTTTAGAATATTTTGTTTTATTTTTTATCAAATGACGCATTTCTCCATGAAAAATGTGTTCACCAATATAGGCTATGTGGTGCTCCCACTTGTGCGAGAACCCTTGAAGTTTAAGTCCGGTACGACCCATGAAGCATTCATGCTTAAACATGGCCGATCCATATACATTGTCTTCATGGTATGCTCTAACTGTGTCGTGCTAGCTCGACCATTTGCCTAGGTATAGTGATGCTCTAAAACACAACACCAATCTGCGACCAAGTATAATCGCAGACCGGGAATGCAGTAACAGGCAAGTTATATTATCAACCCGGGGTCTAGATCTACTGCTTACTCAGTGATTCTCTGTTATCTAGCCAACTAAAATAAGTGATTGTTGTTTAAACTAAAAGCAGAAATAAAGCAGAAATTGATACGGTTTTCTTAAGCAGGAAAGAGTCACTCGGGAATGAGTCCCCCTAGCTCCTTAGTTAGGTTCAATTGCAATTTACCCTGGGTTGATTTACTGTTGATTAGACTGCGGAAGTTCCGGCAGTAGCTTGGAATCTCTTAAGCTGACCAAGCCCTCTCAGTCTAACTACCCGGCAGACGACTAGTCTTCACCGGGATAGAAAGCTGAAGCAGTAAGAACAGAACTCCACTACTGGAATTGGATTCCAGTACAAAGCAGTCAACTGGCTAACTCTCGTATAGCCAATCTCCTACTACCGAATGATGAGACTCTAGCAACCTAATCAGATTCTATCTATCTCAGATTGCAGCAGGAATCAGGAAAAGTTGATCAGACTTCAATTGACTCAATAAACATGCATCATTCGATTAAAATCAAACAGTAATATCATCCCAAGTCATTACAATCAATTCCTAACACATAGAACTAGGGTTCTTCATCCCCAAGTGAGAGAGGGGTTCTACTCCATAGAGAGAGAGAAGAAAACAGTAATCGGAGTAGTCATACTCATAAAGATGAGGAAAATCTGCTCCGGGATATTGATTTCCACTCCTAGGACGATCTCCAAGCTTGATTTGATGAAACCCAGCT